CCTTAGGAGGAAAGTGGGATAACTGTGGATTACTCTGCTGCTTCTCTGATCTGCACGTAGCATTGTCTCAAGGAGGCTTGCATGTTAACTGTGAAGTGTATGCTTGAGAGCAGCTGTGGAATTGAGCTGAGTTTTCCTATCTGTCTTCCAAACTTGCATATGATGCTGAGCATTGTGGCTTATTGCCTAAGAGAGAAAACTAGGGGTGAAAAAAAATTCTTACCCTTCTTTCTGATGGGGACACTGTATTGTCACATTACTTGCTGGGGAGGTGCTGAATCACACCTCTGACTGGTCAGTACTGTAGCTTTTCTTGCTTTACCCACTAAGAATTTGTAATGTGCCACCTGGCTGAAGCATCCTGTGGTGCTGCTTCCTGAGTTGCCCTGTAAAGTCAGATATGTGGAAAACCAGCAAAGTATTCTGAAGCTATATGAGCTCATTGAATCGGAGTCATCAGAGTTGGAAGGGACCTCTGGAGGTCATCTGGTTCAACCTCCCTGCTCAAGTAGGGCCACCAAGAGCCAGTTGCTCAGGAGTTTCTCTGTGCTATTTGTGGTCTGGAGCCACTGACTTTAATGTTTAAGAGCTGATATGTGCAGAAATGCATATGCTGTATGGGGATGTGCTTTAGTGTTACTGAGGAGAAAGGATTCCTGGTCACCTTTCATCTGGAATTTGGCACCATGACCAGACGCTATAAACATAACTCGGTCTTACGTTATTTATAGATATTGTTAAGAAGCCTAGAGGCTTCAGAAGAGATCTTAAGAGGTTTGCAGAGTAACTTGTGAGAGCAGTTGGTTTGAACAGTAAGTGAAGACAATAAACCAGCATAGCAGCTAAGAACCTGTCTTGTGAGATAGAATCAGAGTGGAGAATGTGCTGTGTAGAGTACAGAGCTGTCCAGGAAATACTGCTGGCTTTCTGATCCTCAAGCAATACTTAAACTCTGCGCTTTACAGATTAGAGCCTGATTTCTCTCTTACAGCACCTCTCTCTCTGTGTCTTACCTTTCTAAGCTGGGCTTGAGCTACATGCGTTGAGATTCTCGAACCTTTCATCACAGTAAAGTTTGAATTTTACCTCAGCAGGCAGCTGATCTGCAGGGAGGCCCAGATGAATATCAAGTATCTTGCATCACTTTGTAGTAGATGTGTTATGCTGGGGAAACACCAGCAGGGAGCTCCAGAGGATACATTCATCTGGAAAATTACCCACACACACAGCGCCTGCATTTTTGGATGAACGAAATGCTGGACTTTGCTACGCTCATATACGCAGCTATCTGTAGAATCCCAAAATTCAATGTCAGAATTGCCAGTGCTCTATTTCTGATGAGAACTGGAATCAAAATAATATGAAGTGAAAGGAAGCAGTGAGAAATTGGCATCTTTTTTCTGCAGTTTTACAGATAAATTTAGGTCTTTGCTGCTTCTTTGCCTAAAACCTTTCTATAAACCCCTTACAAGCAAACCGTTAATTCTTTCTCTTTTTCTCAGCTCCTATCCTTTCATGATCCTGTTACATTTCTTATGTTTTATTAAGGAAGGGACTACTTCCATTTTGCTGACTATGGAGACATGAAAAATACTGTCTTTTAGAGCTGAAATTTAGCCTTTTTCCCTTATTTAATCCTATGACCTAAAATCATACAGTGACTTCTACAACAAGGCCTAAGGCTGGATTCCCAGATGGAATCGGCATCTGTTGCCAGTAGCATAGTCGGATGTATTTCCTTTTTCTTGCAGTGGGTTCTGGCTGAAATATGCTTACTGCAGACCCCTTGGACGAGAGCATTCTGTCTGCATTTAGCCACATAACGTTAGAAGCAACGTTTGTGGGAAGGCTGTAAAAGTGAGTGAACTCTAAAAGAGCAAGCATTCAGGTTTTCTCTAATCTATAACTGTCTGAGACTATCTGAAAGGTTTGTGGCAGCAGCAGAAGTGCGTTGCTATACTGACTTGTCAAAGATGGGGAACTCAGTCATGTTCTTTGCAGCAGGCCAGGGAGGACAATCAGGCTGGATGGGAAGCGTATAAAATTTTTACACACAAGTGAACTAAGTTTTTATCATAATTAATGCTTAGTAACTTACCAAAAAGAAAGCAAGTTGAAAATTTTTGGTGACTTCATAAAATTAGGAGATAAATTATCCTCATCATCAAATCTAGTACTGAGTACAAACCTTTTGTATTCATGCTGCTGCCTTTTTGGGAAAGCACTGAGTTGATGGGCTCCTCACTTTTGACTCCTCTGTTAGATTGTTTCTCAGATGTTGTGAATGTCACACAGAGATAAATTTTTATTTTGACATGTGACCATGAATTCATGTCTAAATTCAGGCGTGCTGAGCTATGTACAAGACGGTGTTGGCTGAACGAAACGGAGAGCTGAGACAGATCTAGCCAGGTAAAGATGACTGAAGGAGACTACATAGGGGTGCTTAGTTTTAATTCAAGATTTTAATGACGGACTTCCTGTTAGCACAGTGCTGATCTAAAGGCAGTAAGGCACAGGGAGGGCTGTGAATTACTTTTTGTCCACCAGAGGGTATAAGCATAACATACAATCACTGAAAATGAGAGCGCAGAGACGGGTCTGATAACAGTTGAATTACAACAAGTGGAACATCAATATTTCCTGCGTATGAGAGTGAAAGTCCTGCTTAGAAGTGGGGGGGCGAACAAACTGTGGCTCTGCTGGAGAAATATGAAGTAATACTGAGTTAACCCCTGACTCAAAAGGCTATGTAAGCTTGCTGGGCTTTCTAATTGAGCTACTTTCCAGTGAGGCTTGCCAAGACAACAGCATTAGAGAATAACAATCCTCAAATCTTTTTGTTGTCCATTCAAACCATTTTCTAGCTGCAGGAAGTAGCTCTGTAAATGTCAATATTTATGATTTATTCCCCCTCCTTTTGCAATTAGCCCGTTTCTGTGTGTTTGTGTACTTCAATAGTGTTGCCCTAATTTATACTCTGAATTTTATAGTATTTCCTGGTAAGAATGAGTAGTTTATTTCAATTGGATCTATGTTCTGTGAAAATAGAAGCAATTTTAATCTAAAAATACAGATGTATCTAATGGTTACTATGGTAATTTGTGACCATGGCAACAGAGTTAGCATTCTGAAGAACAGACGGGTTCATTCTTTTTTGGTTTTTTTTCTTTTTTGGGGGTAGTTGGGGTGTTCAGTCAACAAAATTAACAGTGCAGGTATTTCAGGAAAAAACACTTATTTCTTAACTGTACAAGATCACATGGGTACAAGGGACTTTGACATTGTCTCACATAAGATTTTTGTAGAAAAGCTGTTGAAGTGCAGGCTGGATGAACGGAAAGTGAGGTGCATCAAAACTGGCTGGATGGCCAGGCCCAGAGGGCTGTGGTCGGTCGCAGGGAGTGTAAGTGGAGGCCAGCAGTGTGCCCCAGGGCTCAGCACTGGTCTAATTCTGTGTAGCATCTTCATTAATGATTGGAATGATGGGGCAGAGTGTGCCCTCGGCAGGTTTGCTGGTAGCACAAAACTGGGAGGAGTGGCTGATATGCCAGAAGGTTGCGCAGGAAGCAGCAGGAGGTATATATCTGGCCTTACATCTCAAAATATACAGAAATCCTAACAGGATCCTAATGAGACGGTCTGAGATTCTTTCTGATGTTGAGAAAGAGGAGGTCTTTTATCTGCAACATCATAGATGGAGACTTAGAGACTGAGTAAAGGTCCGGGACATACCAGGAGGTTACTGTAGGAAAGTGAAGTAGAATGTGGAATAGGGCTGGGGATTCTTTATTGTCAGACTTTGTAAAAGGAGAAAAAAAAAAAGTTTCTGTTCTATTTTTCCATCACATGATCAGAGTTAAATAAACAACACAGTGTTTTCAGGCAGGTGCTAAATTTCGCCTACAAGTTGTGGATTGCCGTGATGTGGTTGAGACCACAAGAGTGTGTATTGCATTATAGGAAACACTTAGTAATGATTTAGAGAGTTATATTTGTAAGGAAATAATATATTATTGAGAAAGGCCAGAATGGGCTGTCATGACTAAGCCTTGTATTTAGTGAACAGCTATCTCTGCCAGCACAGAGGTAATGTAAAGGCCCTCTACTAGCGACACTCAGTGTCAGTTTTATAAAGAAATGTGCTGGATAGAAGTTTAGCCAAAGCCAAATCACAGAATTTTCCAAGCTTTCTCTTTTTTCCTAGGCCCTGTTGGGAATCTAGCAACTGAATGGAAATTACAGCATTGCTGCTATCACTTGCTAATTTGGGGCAATGAATTAAATAGAATCAAAACTGCATTTAAATGCCAATTTTTGTAAAAGCCAGCTGTTGTGACCATTCTGTATTTGCCACAGGAATACAGTCACTGCGCAGTGGAGCCGCTGTGGTGCTCCAAGGCCCTTACCTCAGAAAAGGGAAAACAGAAAAGGCCAGCCCGAGCTGAATTGGTTCAGCTACTGCAGTCCCCTGTCTCCAACGCTGCTCAGTCTATCTGATGACCAGTGGGCAGTCTGGAATTAATACATGCATTGGAAAGGCCTCTTCCTGACACTGTCACCTTTTTACCCATGCTCTGAAGCACGGTGATGTTAAATGCCTGGGTTATTGGGTTTTTTGAGGAGAGGGAGTTGTTAGAATTCTTTCATAAGTTTTTTTTTTTTTATAGAGTCATTAAAACTTTGGTCATTTGCTGCAGTGTAATGACTTAAATGTAGCAACCCTAAGGCATCCTAACCTCGTGTTCTGCTTGCTTTGTTACCCAGACTCTTTCTAGGTATCTTTTTACGTTCTCTCTTGTGAAGACCATTAAAGAAAATCTTGTATTATCTCTTCAGTATCTTGCACTTTTGCTCTCATTTATTTTCCCCTATTTCAAAGGAGCCATTGTTTTTTCTTCCATTTCTCCCCAGAATATGATACAAAAGGTTTTATCGATGCA